AGAGAGAGGGAGAGAAAGAGGGAGAGAGAGGGAAAAAGAAAAGGATAAGACATAGAGATGAACAAGCAATGATCCACAAGACGAATACTACAAGTACAATGTCATTTCTTTTTTCTCCGTTGAGGCCATTAGCTGAGAAATACGATGATCTCTTCGTACTAGCTAGTACCATTTTACGTTTACTAGCACACACACACACACACACATACACACACACATATATACACGCATACACACACATACACATACACACATATATAGAGAACGTGAAGATCAGGGATGGTGTGGACAGACGACGAGAGACCCAGACGGACAGACACATAGAGTGGCGGTGAGTATCGATGTAAAAAGTAAGATTTGCTGTGTTGCTGTTTTATGGTGGTGAATGATGTAGAAATGAAAAAAGTGGAAAAAAAAGATGGGTTAAAATAGACAGACACCTGACACTGATCGCATTGTATTCCGATCACGTGGGGTTGACAATTGCATTGGCCATCATTTTGTTGACATTCAAGCACGACATAATCCACGTTAGGACGTTTGGTACCAGGCGCAAAACAGCTATAAAATATTTATCCCCTTTTATCATATCTTGTAAGATATATGTATGATAAGAGATATAAATAGACATACTTGCATGCTTTGCAATCTCCTTTTGGCTCTAAAAGTGCATCACCCCAATAGCCTGGCTTACACTCCTCACAATTGAAGCCAGTTGTATCATAAATACACTTTTTGCATTCACCAGTCAATGAGTCACAATTTCCGATACTATTGGGATCGATATTTCCACTACATAAACATTCCACACATAATTTCCCCTCGCTTGGATTACCAAAGAAACCATCAGCGCAAACGTCGCATCTGAAATATGAATGTTCATCATCATATATTCCGATAAATTTCTAATTTTTCCAACATTTATTGAACTCTTTATTTATTGCATTAAGGGATATTTTCATAAAGAGCGAGAAAATGAATGGATGTCCCAAATTTGCATTTAATATTCTTAATGTCATGTATGCATGCATGCATGCATACATGCATACATGACACTCACTGACTTTGTTATATTTCTACAGAAAATGCCATCATCCCATAAATGTAAGATTTAAAGGTTTAATTTCTGAAGTACAATACTTAGCTTCTTTCCATCCTTCATCTTAATATCCTAGAGAAGGAGAAGATGGAAAGGAAAATGGCAATTGGTTTTTTTTTTGCGATAAGCGAAAGCAATTTCGAATAATTTGAAAAAGTTGGAAGTGTAGAAAACTTCTTTCAACTTATCCCTAATTAACATAAAGGCTGTCATATCAATTTATCAGCTATTCTATCAAGTTGCTTTTAATTCAAGAAAAAACTCTCTTTGTTCCTCTCTTTTGCAGCACAATAACAATTTAATAACTTTAAAAAGAAATATAAATTTTAAAAGGATTCTTCTTGTTTTAAATAAGCCAAAATTATGCTCTTTAAATGAGGATGGTACTTGATGGTACAGCATTGATTAGACTTGGGATGTTTATAGTTTGGTCTTAAAAAGAAATTCTTTCACTATGCTTAAGTTGTGGACATTTTCTGAATGCTAATCTATGCTTCAATTAAGCTAAATAATCTCCCCTACCTTCGGCCAGTATATCCGGTTGGACAATCAGTGCAAATGATATCGCCATCAGTATGCAAAACACATGGACCATCTTCTGGACATGGACATTTTGTACAATCATCTGGTGTACCTTGTAGTGCATTCCCGTAATAACCACGTGTACAACGTTCACATGTATCACCGGCCGTATTATGTTCACAAATACATTCACCTGAAATATTTCATACATTAAAATGTAATTTCTGTATTTTTTGATCTAAGAATTTTCCGGTATCCAATGAATATTGAATTTTAGGTTTTTCTCCATGTCTTAAATATTTGTTCAAGTTTAAATTCAAAAAAAAATTTTTTTTAACCTAAAATTATGGCTCAATTTAAAGGAAAACACAAGTTGCCCCTGAATGGATAAAAAAAAAAGATTTGAAATTTGAATCCATAAACCTGATTCTGGTGCGCAAGAAGTAGAATGACCATGACATTCACATTTGACACATCGATCAAATGGTCCACCGAATTTTATTTCACGACGATATCCAGAAGCACATGATTCACAGAACTGTCCAATGAAACCTTCTAAACAGTTGCATGATTCAATCCACTGCGCTTCCTTTGGTTCATCGGCTGAGGTAGCCAAACCTGCTGATCCCAAGTGAACATTACTCAAGAAGCCAACATCTGAAAGTATATAAAATGACAAATAAAGTAGATACATTTAAGTCTATCAGATAATTGTGCAATGAAAAGATCTTGGAAACTTTTAAAAAGCAAAGAGAAAAGGCAACAATTAATAAGTTTTTTTTTTTCCATATGAGAAATTTAAAAATTATCACCTCCAGTTGAATAAGTCCCACGAATCTTAAGAGCGCTAACATTGGAAAGAATCCCGATAAAATCCAACTCATTCAATCGTGGGCTCCACTGAAATACCGGATTTGCATGAATCCGGAAACGATACGTTTGTTCATTTACAGATGGCATTGGATTTTCTTGGGCAAAAATTGGTATGGTTAATTCCTCGCCTTCTTGGCCAATAATCAATATATCTCTGAAATATATGGAATATCTTAAATAAAGTCAACTAACGGAAAAAGATGCATCCTAATGATGACAAGTAGTAATCGAATTTTTTTTTCCAGTTAGAAAGAAAATTTTTAGAACTGAAAATATCAAACTTCATATAAGAAAGAAATTAAACGAGAAGAATCAATTTGCGCCATTCTAAGTCTGAGTACTTTTAGAGGACAATGATAATTATAAATTAAAAGAAGAGATATAAGGTAATTTCAAAAAATTAACATCCTTTATTAATTTAAAAAAAAGCACATACCTTGCGCTAGGATGCACTTGCGCTTTCTGTACACGCAACGTAAACCATAAATCCTGATTGTATGACGCTCGTTGATCTCCGGTAAACTGTATCGGTGCAACAAAATAAACCGGTGATCCATTAATATCGGAAACAGCGATAGCTTTATCCATTTCAGCCCATTGAATATCTTCCGGTCCACGTAATGAGGTAGCACTCCAAAGTTCTTTCCCTAATATAATTATTATAATTAATTAAAACATGCATTACTGAAACAATTCAGTGATCATTTATGAGACGAATCGCTTCCTTATAATGTTACCGTACTTTCAATCACTAATACTTTATTTCATAATAGCAAAAATAGAGGAGAAAAAAAAATTCATTCAACTTGGGTTGAAAATGTTAAAACTTAACGAACCATCAACAAAATTACTGCTCACATTCATTGCATAATAACCATCAGCACTGGAGCAAATGGACGAATGACCATAGCAAAAGCATGGTGTACAACCGAACTGATTATCCAATGATAAATCAAAATATCCAGGTTTGCATTTGTTACACTGTCGTCCTTCTACATTTAATTTACAACTACAACTACCTGTTTCCGAATCACAAACTGATTCATTGTTCAATGATCCTGCCTTATCGCATAAACAGTTTCTGAAATGTACGATATGAAAGTTTTGTATCATTGATTGATAAGTATTGAATTGATAGATTTTAAAGTATCTCATATCAATTATAAATGAACACATACTTGCATCCACTAATCGAGAACTCATAATATCCGGACATGCAACGATCACAGAATTGTCCATTCACTCCAGGTTTACATGGACATTGACCATGCTCATCGCATTGCATGCCTAATGATCCAATTTCGTTACATTGGCATGGAATACAATAATGTTCACCAGGACGACGCCAATTGAACGGTGCGCATTCCTCGCAATGTGCTCCCTAAAATGCAAGAGAAAAGCATGCATATGCATATTGCAATAATAAATACCAATCTCAAATTCAATCTTTTTAATTTGTTTAATTTCATTAGTACCATAATACGAATACAATTATTACTTTACAATACATTTCCAGTAGTATCATTGCAGCATTGTTCTCGACAATCCTATATATTAATTTTGTGCTCACATAATTAATTTATCCTTTTTTCTCTTCATTACTTTTTCCATCAAAGACACTTGAACATGATGACCAGTGGTCATCTCTCAGGTCAGATAAGTTATACTATTAAGAAAGGATAGAAGTTAAAAAGAAGCATGATGTCGAGATAAAATTATTTAAAGTATTATACCTGAGTATTACCAGCACAATCAATACAATGTCCACCACTACCTGTATGTTCGAAAAGTGTCTGATCAAAGTAGCAACGATTTGATAAATGACTGCAGTTGCAAGCTAAAAATTACAATCATTAATTGCAATGTGTTCAAAGACAAAGGTCATAGTGTATTCCATGAGGAAGAATGACATTGCAATGTGTTCAAAGACAAAGGTCATAGTGTATTCCATGAGGAAGAATGACATTGCAATGTGTTCAAAAACAAAGGTCATAGTGTATTCCATGAGGAAGAATGACCACTTGTTAATATTAAATGGGAAATATTTTCCTTCTCAGATTTATAAGCTCAGATCTAACTTTCTTTCTAAATGATAACTGCTTATATGATGAAATTAGTGAGGTGTGAAAAAGAGTACACGAAGATGATAAGAAATTATCATCTTTCTGATCTACTCAAAATGAAAATCATTTAATGGACGTGAAGTGTGATGTCCAAAATATTTCCACCATTCGAAATTGATGCTATCAATTATACCGTAATTAAATGAAAAGAAAAAAAAATTTCGACCGCATATTACATCCTTTATATCACTATCACCACAAAGTTTCTATTATCATTATCATTAACTGATCAAACCTCACCAATGCATTCGTTTGCCTCTTTTGCAGTTCCAACTCGCCATGGTCGATCGTTATAAAAAGGTAAGCATTGATCACAATCAGCACCCATTGTATTATGCTCACATCGACATACCAAACGATCTTCACCATCACCTGTTGACTTCACGCATTCACTTGCATGTCCATTACACTTACACCTGCAAATCAGTTAGGATGGATTGCATACCGGAACCGGAATAATGCTACAGTACTCATGCCATGTCAACATACCTTTATAAGAGGAATGTAAATTGTTAATGATTAAGGAAATTTATGATTGGATTAGGTATAATTTCATGATGATAAATTTCTCGTCAAAACTTTGCTCTCATTCAATCAATATATTCACCTGCCGCCAACAGCGAAATCAGATATGGCATAATAATATGATCGTAAGACTTTTGCGTCTCGGAACACTTCATCGCCAAATGTATTCATCCGTGTCAACATGATCCGTATTTCAGATGCTGTCACCCATTCCTGTAGTTTTGTTCTAGGAAAATCCATCCATTAAGTGTAAGTAATAACTGGATATAATATTGAAGTATATCATCAGAAAACAGAATGGTGTATTAACAGAATATTTAAGTGATATATTGTCTAGAATCTAGCCATAAGATAGATTAAACAAAATGATTCAGACTAATGGTCATCTTAAATGATGAAATAGTCTTATTGATATGACAGATAACTTATGCTTCAAGTGATAATATTGATTATTTTGACAAAAATGGAAATTATCCGAGAATGTGATGTAAAACAAGACCTGCAATGTTTCACTTTCCTCGAAATTTTGACTGCTAGGTCTACCTTCCAATGTTGAAAATGCAATATTACCACCAGTTAATGGAGAAATATCTGAGAATTCCCGGGTACATTGTGCCACAGCTTCATTACTCGGTAAAATGGGTGCCTTCTCGATTATTCCATATGTTGAACGACATGATCCACTTCAAAAGTACTTTCGAATTATTCATTTATAGAAATTTTCTTTTTTTTTTTTCAGCAAAATATCTTTCATTATCATAAATGCAAAATAATCTATCTCTTAAAATGCAAAGATTAACCTGTAATATTGCCACGGAATCCAGTCATCGTCCGGACGAGTTTTCTTAAAAATTGCAAAACTTTCCGGTCTTGGACTGACAAATTTCAGTCTAACATAAGTGATATCGAATGTTTTGCCAAGACGTAGTGTTAAATTAACACTATTCGGATATTGGATGCCTTCGTTCATCGTCTCCGATTGCCACCAAGTTTCGTTATTTGCATTATTAAAATCAGTCAAATAAGCAGGAGGATGAGCATATGCCTAAAAAAGTCATAATTATTTGGTGTGATACTTATGACACATACTACAAGTCATTTAAATTAATTAATTAACTCATTCTTCCTCAAAATTAGTGAAAGGAATCTTTTCACTTCATGTCAAATCCCCAAAATTCGTTCTATTATAAAACAGAAAAGATTTTTCTTTTTTTAATTAATGAAGAAATTGGGGCAAAAATCAACCTGATAGGCTATGAAAAGATTTTACCTCAACTTTGCCATCGCAAATGTCACAAACTTTACGTACGCCACTGTGACCTGTCTGTACACAGTAACTGAAAAGTTTGATATGTTAAAAAGAAAAAAAAACTGCACATATTTTAAGAGACAAATACGCCACAATTAGAAAAGGAGATAATGGTAATTGTCGCATATCAACTAAAAGAATTGTTCATCTTTTATGATATCAGAATTTATTTCCTCTACAATTTAATTTTAAATGACACTGTTTCATATTTTCATAACAATCTCAACAACTGGTAATTTTTTTTCCAAATTTAGAATTCCAAATTTAGAATTAAAATTTGAATTTAAAACGTATGAGTTAACCTTGTAGGTCCATTAAGACCACATGTATTAGTTACTTCAACCTGAAGATTGAATGCAGCATTAATAAAATCTGGAACACATCGCTGCGGGATATTCATATCGTCGTAACATGGACTACTTCCTTAAAAATGATGATTACATTTTATCAACTACACGATTTGTTATCTAATTAATGATAATTTTTAAAACCTGGGATATGATGATTCGGATCAATCGATGGTTGCTGCTCTGCTGGTTGTGCTATTATTGTTTCACATATCCAAATTAGGAAGTATATTAATTGCATTAGTTCTAAATTTGTCCTATATGGTCGATGATAATGCAATATCCTAAAAATGAAATTTTTTTTTTTTTTAAAAAAGAAAGGAAACTATATCCAGTTGTGTAAGCAAAAAAAAAAAACATGCATTATATCATGATAATAATAGAAAATAGCAATTATTACCTGACCATATGCTGTTGCATTTTCTTTTTTTTTTTTCAAATCTTGCTGATCAAAGCAAGAATTATTGATAATTCAGTTGATAAATTTTGTCTTATCAATAACAAGCCAATATTCGTGATATTATTTGATAGCGAAAAGACCAAAAATTTGTAAGAATTGTTATAAGATGTATTGTTGATGAATTCTAGCATAAGAGTCTAATCACAGCTTATTTTACTGTTCCGTTCCGAAATGCACTGAACCATTAACAGCTAAATAAGGTTAATATTAATAAATTATGGAAATTTAATGATGATAATAATGATAATGACGATAATGTTGATGATAATGATGATGATGATGATGATAATGATGATCGATGATTTTGATAATGTATTGAATGGGAAGTTAAATTCAGATAAAAATAAGAGAAAGGAAAATTGTTTGGATCGAATAAGTAAGCATTGATGGTTGTATATAAAATGACATTAACAGGATCATTTTAGCGGAGAGAACGTCTAAACAATTCATATTCAATATGTTTAAAATAGCAATGATGATTGGTTGAAAATAATTTTACTCCAATATAAACAAATTTAAAAAAAAAAAAAAAAGTGGACAATTGGCAGTATAAACAACAGAGAGAAGGAAGAAATTGAAAATGTTGTAATTTGGTTGAAAAAAAAATCGTTTGACAACAATGCGACATCAATCTATACACATCTCTCATTGGTAAATGAGATGAAATTTATAACAGTAAAGTGAAGTTCAGTAATTATATCGTAAAAGTCATCAATGACCATATGTTGATTTTCCCTCTTATGGAATTCATATAATAAATGTACACGCCAGATGTTAAAAATGATTTGCAATCTTAGCTTAATTTTTTTTTTTCCAGACAAGGAATTTTGGATAGAATTAACTTAGTAGTTGGTCAGGCAAGTAGTCTTCGTCATAGTAATTAGTGATAATTAATATGATGATAAGGTGAAAGATGGGCAGATAGAAGAAATAAATAGAGAGTTGGAGATGAAATGATAATATCACTTCTGTGATTGCAATTAAACAAGGCATTGTTTATATTTTTATAACAACAATGATATCTTCTTTTTTTTTTGCATGCCAAGGCAGTAATTTGAAATGAAAATGGGTGAAATTTTCAAAACGTATACACCTCACCGATACATTTTGATGACATTTCTCGAAAACACTATTTTTTCTATCCACATTTCAACCAATGCTGGAAGTTGACAGTGAAAGTAATTGTCATTTGTATCAGAGAGACAATTTAAGGAGTGAATGGGAAGGAAGGTAAACTATTTGAATAGACTTATTAAATTTAAACATTAATTGGTGATAAGAATAAATTTAGTAATTTTAAATTCTAGGAATGACCATTAAATGTCCAAATATACATTTATATCAGTGCATATCTGTCTTATATTCAAATATATTTGGAAGTTTAATTGAAGTTTAAATGATTAAAAGAGACATTATGACAGAATTAAAGATTTGCTATTTCCTAAAACATTTGAGTTACTAGAAAGATTATCGAAATTTAGAAGGAATGATCGAGTATTGTCAAGTTCGACTTAGGTTTGTTTACTCAACTGTAAACGATAAATTTGATGGCAACATTGCCAATACACACTGAAAAAGATGGTTTCCATCAAATAGCTCCTATCGTTGACAAAAATTTTTGAAGGTTGAATGAGAACGGTGACTAAAGATCAAGCAACTCCTACTTCTCTTTCTTCATGTCGTTTAAAATGTCGTTATCGTTATCATTAATGTGAGCGGTAGTAGTGAAAACGGTACCAAAGAAGGAAGGTAACTGCATAGGAGACAATATACCATTGGCAACCGAAACCATCAAAAAGCACCGGTAAGAAAAGGAATTTTACGATGTTTCATAAATTGAATATTGCGTTGAAAATTGCCGAAGATGATCATTGTTAATGCAATGTATTGCAATGCATGCATGCATGCATATTGCATTAGCAACATGCATTCGCATGTACATTAAACGTATAATGTGATACAAGTATGATATATATCATATGCGGTAATGTTTGTATATATTTGTATCTATCTGATATCGTTCACGCGAACTTATGTCAACACACGTGTGATTTATGATGTTTATAGGATTGATAATGTGACTGATATGATCACTCACTTTGCCACTCATTCAAGGATGACAAATTTTCAGTCTTATAAAGGCTAAGCATTAATTTAATCAAACAGTTAGAATTGGCAAAAGTAAATACCGATACCCTAATGTCAATACATGTACAAGTAAGCAACGGTCATTTTGTTTCATCCTAACTTTGACTAGAGGTTAGTTGACCACTTCCTTTCCTACAAATTTAGGGAAGGAAAAAAGAGCTAGCATGAATGACGCGAATTTCTGTAACTATGATCAATTAATACATTACAACTGAGATATTTCGATAGAGTTCAAGTTCAAGTCATATATTTATTGTTCATTGCTTATTTTACTTATTTGTTATCAATCTATTAAGGTGGGAAATTAATGAACTGATAACAGTGTGATAAGAATTATAAATAAACATGAGAGCAATGAAAAACACTTTTCCTTATCACCACGTCATATTTCACGTTACTCTCATCATAGTCCAGTTTTTGGAGTTATTTGATGCATCAATTGATAACACTTTCTTATCATTTCTTTATATTATTTTAGAGTTTTATTATCATATCTATTCTGGAAAATATTTTCTTCTTTATCGAATATTTTTACAGAATTATTCTCAAACAGTCAATAACACTTTGATGCATTTGATGAGTGATGGAATCAATCAGTCAATATTGTAGGAGAGAAATGGGTAAAAGATTGTCAACACCTCTTTAACGATCAGTAATTCTTCTTTAATTTCTGATAAAAATAAAATTTTCACAAAATTTGCATTAAAAATTATTAACCTATTCTAAGAGCGATCAGAGATTAAGAAATCATTGCTATTATGAAGTGTGATCGAAAGTGGACACATAAGGACAGTATGACAGATATGTATATGAAATGATTATTAAAATATGAGAACAGTAGTTGACAAAAATAATTAAAATCAAATTAGTTGAAATAATGCTAGTCAACTGGTGCAGTTTTGTGCAATTTTATCAAGTATTTACAAAATTGGACATCCGTAATTGACCAACAGTAGGATATGTCCATTTAGTTGACCTGTTATGGTTTGTTATGCTATTAGTAATACTAACGATAAGATTATCTTAGCTCAATTATCACCAGGATAGGATTGCTGAATAGAAGTCTCTACTCATCAATAATCTAATTCATTAAATTCCAAAATTTTGGTTTGACCAAAATTAATTGAAAAACTAAAAATGAACAAATTTACTCTATATTATTGAGCTTAAAATATTAATTATCAGTTTATCATCTGAGATAAGATTGCTAACATAGTGACAAAATGATTAGTTTGTAAATGGAGAAAAGTATCACTAAATTTTCACTAACTAGCAAACTTTTGATCCGGTCGTCAATTATCGTAGATCCAAACCAATCTAATTACTTTAATCGAGTACAAATTATACTATGATATGAGTAGAAAAGAAAATAACCAAGAAGATAAATAGCTAGGACATTTGCGCTTGCTTGTATACAATAATCACAAAAATCTTTTGTTCATTTATTCAATGATAAACAAATTGTATTCGTTAATTAATTTGATATGCTGACTAAATCTGTCAACTTTTCAGCCCATATTCAATTCAATTTTAATTTTAAAATTTAAAACTTTGATAATTCAAATGTAAAACGATAGCTTTCTGATAATGTTTCTGATAATGAACTTGCGAGATGCAATGATGCATTTTGTTCTCATTTAATATTATCATACTTCTATAACCCTGTTAATGGTCATTTAAATTAAATTGCACAATTCATTGAAGTACTTTACAGTCCATTGGACGGAGAAGATTAAATCATTAAATTACTTCATAACTTCCAATTAACAGTTAATTGGTGGAATTCAATATGCCATTAATTACTTTTTATAATTTACAAAAATGAAAATAAGAATGTTTAAAAAAAGCAAAAAAAAAAAGCAAACATAAACTACATTGAGTTTCTTAATGCCTTAGCATAATAAAATTAATAATATTTTATTTGGCAAAATTGTAATTAGAACCGAAACAAATAACACGAAATTGAATTCGTAAAGATGCATGCGACAAAGAGTATGCGACATACATGCGACACATTCGATATGTATAATGTGAAAATAGAAATGTTCCTTAAAATGAGTTCTCTCAATACAATCTCAATAAGGACAGATAAATGGTAATATTACTAATTAGTGAAAGGGAAGACTGAAAGACTGCTTGTAATTTGTTCTATTTTCAAGCGTAAGGGACACGTAAGTCAGAGAAAAACTTGGTAAGAAGGAAATGATAAGGGGAATTCGATTTAATCTGTAATGACCAGAAAATGATAAGAGGACTTCATGTTACGTGATTTAATCTATAAAAATTTAAAATTTGACAAAAAGATAAGGGGAATTCACGTTACGTGAATTTATCTGTCTGTACCGGTTCAACTTTCATTTATATTTTACTACTTTACTAAATGACTTTTAATCACTATGCTCCCATAAATGATAGTTGAACTGTTAATTCCTTTTAAGAGAAATAGAAAATATAGATTAATATTTTATTCATCATACATACAGTTTTCTGATACTTTTAAGCTATTTGTTGAGTACATTACCGCATTTTTTGATACAAATTACATATGCATAATAATTAATGTTATCCTCAGAAATTCAAAATTTGTGGTTGACAATGTACGAAGGTGAAGACAACGAGATAATAATAAGAAT